GTTTTAATTTGTTGTTATTTGGTTATAATTGTATTGGTAAAATTTTCGTTCTTAAAGTAAAGAGAAGATGTGTGTTTGGGACAAGTTTATAAATTTATGCATGTTTTCTTCTTCTATGGATTTCTAATCCTCAAGGTCGCAATACAACGGTTTATGTATACATGTCACTGACATCGTGATAAAATCAGATAAAATTGACAACACTGTCACTATTGAAAATTACAGAAATTCACGTAGTGAAGATCTAGTCTAGCCCCTTTTTCGTCACAAGCGTGCCCGTCAATCATTGAACTCATTATCTCCTTATCGAGACCCTTTCAAATAGATATATAATGTTCTTATCGCTAAGTCATCCTTGTGCTTCTAATCAGCTATAAGTAATCAATAACATTGATATTCCTCTTTTTTATTTTTTTCTTCTTCGCTACAAACGCTATTGCATTTTTTTTTGCTGACGCACAAAATCATCCAATTTTGTGAATTTTATTTAACTTTCTCTCTGTTTTATTCTCATATTGAGCTCTCTTAATCTAATTTAATCGATATGGAAATGTTGTTCATATCGCCGCAAGACATTAGACGCGCTTCTTAAACTCTGTTACTTTCGAAATTGTCGAAATTGTATGGGCAATAAGAAATGTACTGCGTTTCTATCACTTTGCATTATTTCTTTCAGTACTGGTGCCAAGCAATGCCGAGCTCCTGGAGACTCTTCAGCTCCTTATCTCGACTACTTAAGTAGGCTATCAGAGATGCCATTAAGTGTACCGCTACGCGAGTTTGCATTGTCATAACGAATTGTTCGTTGGAATCCAAGGAGGTCCCAAAGTATTTGCGCGCGAGAGAAAGGGACGGAAAAAAAAGGAATAAATGTCTCGCTGAAGTATCGTTTGGCAGAAGGAGTTATACAAGTAGTTATAGATATCCGTATAATAATCGTTAATTTAACACGGTGAATTTAAGTGGATATTGCAGCGATATTTTTTCATCGAATCTATATAGCTCGGTGATTCTATACTTTCTGAAAGAAAAATTAAATGCCCAGATGGCATGAACTGAAAATTGTAAAATTTACGTAAAAGAAATATTATCAGGCATCAAAATCCGTTTTGACTACCAGCTTTCTTCGTCATCTATTTGTAGATATTCAGACATTTCTAATTTATAATATCTCTCTAGTAATACAACTCTAGTAATACAACATGATTTAAAAATGATTTTATTTGACTATTACAAACTTCCGTTTAATCATCTTCATAAAATTTTATTATCTATTGTATTTATGATTCAATACTTTTTAAACGTCTGCACGAATATCTAACTTTAGAAATATGATATCTATGGCTCAATTCACTACTTATCATAGAGTTTCGAGAGTTCTGTTATAGAACGTTAATCATCCATATTATTTGTAAAATTCTATTATCCGTTATCTGCTGTGTATGGAATAACAGATTATTACAGAACTGCAATATTCGTTTTTTTGCGATACCCTTTACACATTACGTTTTCTCCGCGAGTTTTCGATCATGGATTCATGCAAAATGAATACTGCACTGAGAAAAAAGTTGTTAACTTGACTAAATGCGTTTAGTTCGTAATGATTATTTAGTTCAAATATTTATATATTAGATTAACAAAATCTTGTAATTTAAATTATGTTATTTGTTTGAATTAACAAATATTTGCTTGACAATCCGTGACCGCTACATTTAGTTGAATCAACTAATATTTGTTTGAAACAGCAATATTTTTTTCTCAGTGTGAGAATCGGAGCAATCAGCTCGTTTCGTGTCTTCAGGACATTATCGGACGGTGGCCGTCTGATAATGCCACGACGATCGATCGGGCATCGATTCGTTCATCCGTCTGTTCCACTCGTCCTTCTGTCCGTTCGTCCTCGTAACGATATATCCTTGAGACTCGAGAGGAGAGGCGCCGTAGTTAGCGCGCTCGCGCTCTGTTTGTCGTGTAATAGTAATGATGTTTATCGATCCTGTTATCGAGGGTACATTCTCTTTCTCTCTTTCTCTATTCTTTTCTGCCTCCGTCGGCTCGAGGACGCGGCTAGAGAGACGCAAATATACCGATGGGAGCCCTAATTCGTCTTGGCGGTACCCTTCCATGCGCTCGCGCTCGCGGCGCGATAAAGAGATACATTCACCTCTGCTCGCAGGTGTACAGAGACGTTCTACTGCGTTTATCTGTCGGCTGGTTAGATTGCCAGGGTAATTAAAGCCATCGGAGCGTCGTCACCCGCGAGACCTTCGTGATTATTATCTTTATGACATTGCCGCTTGATTATGCAGCTATCGGTTATTTGCGAGACATCCGAAGGAGGGACAAGGAGTGGCTACGCTCTTCTCGAAGCAGGAAAATGTGAGCGAAGCTCGGAATTTGTAACATTTGTCTTTGGAATAAAATTGACATTCGTTACAGAATTAGGATACTTTTTCAGACTTTTTTTGCGATATTGCTTGCATGCATGACATGTTTATATTCTCGGTAAAATTGGAAGATTCATGTAAACGCTGATTTAAATGAATACTGAAATTGAAACGATTTTGGAATGGATCTTATAAGTTATGGACCTGTTGATCACATAACTGACGGTGTTAAGTGTCTAAAGTTGGTTTTCCGATATTTAAGTAGATAAGAACGTATAGAATTGAATTAAAACCAGTATTTACTTATCTTAAAACTTTAAAGAACCTCTACGCAGTTCCAAATATTAGAACTTCATAGATAATCAATTTTGTTTGCTTCAAATTTTTTATGAAATGAGGAAAAAAAGAACTTTCTGCTCATACAGCACAGACTTTCAAAAGACAGAGGACTATCTCTATTGAGTTAATGGACTAAATTAGTAAGATAAAAAATCGAACCTGAAAATAAAATATTCAGTACTTTTCTTGTACTAATTTGTATCATTAAACATAATTTTATACTACGTGTTATTTCCTAAAAGTGCATATCCGAAGGAACTTAGAGCAACACTTGTTTCTTTTGCGTGTTTTCATTAGTAAAATTCCAGTATATCTTTCGATTATTCCCCAGTATGTTCCTTATTGCCGTCACAATACGTTGCCTGTTTCTGTATAGGAACAACAAGTATAGGCTACAATTGGCAACATTCTGTTTCTTATGTTGTTTCATTGATATATCATGCGCATTATATGCTTTAGAAAACGTAATCTTTGTTGATCTGGTGGATACATTAAATTGCGGAAACGAATTGTTGTACTTAATAACTGAAACAAAACTAAAATATTCTTCCGAATTGAGTCCACTTAATAGAGAAATTGTTTCTATCAGCTGTTAAAAATCGTTTGTTTTCAGCACATAAGTAATAACAGACAGTAATAGACTGCTCCAACAAAAAGTTCCTCAATGTTCCTTTGGCAAACACCCCAATCGATGTCGATTCGATGTCGATTTCATTATCATTTCTGACTGGGACCTTAATACACACTTTAAGCGGCGTGCACAATGAGATTTTAAGGCGTAAAACTTAAAGTCTTAGACCCAATTTCACAACTCACGGCTAATTCTTAACCGAGGTTCAACTTATTTATTGTCTCTTTCCAATTCTAGAATAAGCCATAAGAAATATTTTCTTCACGTTTAATTTTGATTGATTTCTTATATCTTAGGACTTAAGATTTACGCCTTAAAATTTCATGTAAATGTAAATGTCGTTTTAAGAATATTAATTCTAAAACGTTTCTCAAGTAAAGTGTGCTATATAGGTGTTATACACGAATTATAAATTTTGATGCAGTGACGCAAATAAAAACGACGAGTAATACCGGAATAAAGTGGAAGATCACAGGGTTGATCTAGATCTTGAATAATCTAACGGCGTATGGAGGAAAGAGTATATTTGTTGCAACGTGACATAATGATCGGCAACAGCGGCGGCATCGGCATCAGAAAAGGAACGAGGGGAAAGGGAGAAAGCGAGAGAAACGAGATTGGAAACCGACAGCCAGGTCGTTGACATCGTTCCGTGATTTTCCTCGACGTTCACACAGATGCATCTCTTATGCACGTATGTGCACGCGTCGATTACGTGCCCACCCTTTGTAACCGATGGTGGGAGATGAGGTCGGGAAGGGAAGAGGGGGGGGGAAGGGAGAAAAATCGAACCCCGTCGCCACCAGTTGCGTCCGCGATTGCAACTTCACCCCCACGCAATTATCTCGTCCTAGTAGTCTATAGGTGGTCTATAGATAGACCGTCCGACATTGCTCTGCTTCTCTCCCCCCGCATACTCCTGCATTCGTCTCATTTCTCTTTTTTTATCCCTCTTTCGCCCCGGTTCTCGGTATGTTTCATATCCTTTTTTTTTCCCTCCGAGTTTATCTCTCTCTTTCGTTCCTCGACGATGCATACGACGCCGACTTTTCGCGCCTGACGCGTAAATCGAGACTCGGTTTGTCAATGTTGCGTCGAGCGGTTTCTCGTAAATTTGACGAGGGATGGTTTTTGATCTCATCGGTGAGCGGACCGCAATGATTCTACTGATCGGTAGTATACTTTCTACAATTTCAGTGTTTTGGTTGAGCTACTTTCAAAGAGTAATGGGGAATTCGCTAAAATCTTGAAATTCAAGCAAATATGATTTTAGAAATGATCTAAAAATTAATTCTTCTCTAAAACTTGATGATTGATGAGATTTGAAAGATTCGTAGTTTTGATGACTCTGAGGATTTATATAGTTGGACTTTTTTGAGGACTTGAAGATTTTGAGGATTTGTAGGTTTGTGGTTTGATAAATTTTATCCTCTCTCTGAGGATTTATGACAATCAGAATAATAGAATTTATGATAATTTTATATTTTACAAGATCTATCTTTACACCCATCTGTATGTCCCTTTCATTTATGCGTTTGTCTATACACTTTAGGCCTGTTTAAAGTGCTGAAATTGAATCTTCATCTCACTTGAAAACTGTAACAGTGAAAGGCGATACTGGAATAACGAGATCTAATTTACAGGTAGCAATGCAGGCGGTGCGTCGTCAACGGTGACATCGTCCATCTCGAGAAGCACCATAGGTAACCGTGCCCATTCCGCGACCAGGAGGACGGTTCCTAATCAGCAGTCACAGCAGCAACAAATCTCACAACAACAACAGCAGCAACAACAACCAAAACAATCCAGATTTTTATTATCCTCCTTCGGTGGTATAACTACGAGGAGTTCTGATGAGCACGGATCTAGGACCGGTACGACGCAAGACGACAATTCGAACGACTCCGGTCTTGGCTCTGAGGAACGTCAGCAGCACTTTAACAACATCACTGTTAGTATTCTTAATGATAAATAAAATTCTTCAAACTAAATAATTTCAATTAATCTCTTGTTTGTTTAGAATATGTATATAGTAATTATCTAAGTATTTATTATAACAGTTCAGTATATATCTATTGTGAAAATTCTAACATCTGTACTATAAAATTCCATTATCTTATGTAGAAGTTCTTAGAAGATTTCAGGGGCCCGTAAACTTGTTTTCGAATTTTGTATTTATAGGAAATCTTAAGAATATAATGGAAGCTACCTGAAAGAGCAACTTGAGTAACTTATCCGTTTGAAAATATTGATAAAATTTTCAAGATTCCGCAAGTTACTAATCGAATCTAATGCTTTTCGCTTCCGATATATTTCTCGTTTTGTTTTCTTTTTCTCTTTGCTGAAAGATGGAAAAGTGAAGAAGAAGAAGGAGGAAGAGTTGACGGGCCCCTCTTGTGGTCCGTGCGCTTTCCTCACTCTTACTACGATTACGGCACTGAGTCACCCTGTCGTTAGAAGCCAGATGAAGTTATTTAATGTGTTCACGAGGGTACGCGTGATCGTCATCAATATCGTCATCGGAGATCGCCGACCGCTCGAACGGTAGTTGAACCCAGCCGAGTTCTGATTCGTTAAATTAAGCACACAGACGCTCACGCACATACGGGGTGTTCCCGTTATACTGATCGTTCAGCTCTTTCCCATAGTATTGAGCGAAAAATGTGATGCTATATTTTAATATTTCACGTTGAGAACTCTTTATAATAATTCGATTTAACTTAATATGCATAAAAAATAATTTAATTCGAAACAAATGAAATTAATAAGAAAAATAATTTAGTTCGATTTTCAATTCAATTTAATAATCTTGATATTTTTATTGATTACAAATTTACTAAAAAAAAATAAAATAAAATAATGGAGTTATTATTACTAGTATATTAACCACTGCTAAATTTTGTGTGATACAACATTTCAGGTTTTAGCACTATCTTTCATCTGCTGATTGTTTAATTGTTAAATTAATTCGAAATTTTTCTTAGTGAATATTTATCATAAAATATCCAGTATATACATAGAATGATTAATTCTGTGATTATTTTATCAGCTCTGGAACAACGTTGGCGAGGAGGATTCGAAGAGAAGGAAAATGGATATTAAATTAGAGTCCGAGGACGCAAACTTTGCGTTTCCGGAAGTAGCCCCCGGAACCAGCCCCGACAATAAATCACCGACAGTCAGAACTACCGTCAATGGAATCGGTTTGGGAGGAATATCCGGCAATAGATCCGGAAACACTAATTCCATAGGTAGAGTTGTGGGAGTAACTAGACCTCGACCTGCCATGGGTGTTTTGTCCAAAAAGGCACCGATCACTCATCAGGGACCTGTTACTCTTATTTCGCAACTATGTACGTCTTTTAGATAAATGTATAATAAGTGTTAAGCATGAATGTATTATACATTGTGGTAGAAACAAGTTCAACTCCAACTCTAAGACAGATTGTAGATACTGAATCATTTCTAGCGATTGTTTTAATTTTTTCGAGTCGTGAACTCTTGACTCTATAAACCTTTGGTCTTTAGATTACTTGGGTTTGTATCTTCAGATTCTTAAATTTTTTCCAGACAACTTGCATTCTAAAAGACTTCATGAAGTCTTCGTATAATACTTTATGAAATCTTTATAACGTTTATAACGTTTTTTTCAGACATGCGTATTATCTGGATTAAAATTACGGATTCTCAAACATTTTGTCTTTTATCAAGAATAATTCCAATTTTGATTTCTCTTTTTAAATGAGATATTTGTTGAATATAATTTAATATTTTCAAGTATATTGTGTGTGCTGCTGATTGATGCAATTGTACAAAAATACTGCATCTTCTGCAACTTGTTTATCAATATTAATAAACAAAGTTGCAAAAGATGTGGTTTATTCAGTATCAACTGAAGTAATATCAACAAGAGTCTCGTGGACTTTATTGCATCTCATAAACTTAGTCGCTTCTCTTTAAAAGCTTTCGTTTGTCTTGCTAGGTAAACAATTCATTACTTTGATCGCAGAAGTCGCATTGACACCTTCAATGTTTTACAATAAGAGCAAACTCAGTGATGGATTTATTTCCGGCAAAATTGCTTATTTTATCTCTTTCACCACCGATAAGTTATCTTCTTCAGTTCGAGAGCTGACGCTTTCTTTTTTTCTTTCTCTTGCAGCGATAAGAAAAAAACATACGCGAAATTCTCTCGCGATACTTCTCTTTTTGATACCAAATATAGGTCAAACAAGTATATTCCATGCAGTAGTTACAAATCCACGATTGTTGGAGTAATGCGTTTTATCATAGATAATTGCGTAAAAATGATAATAAAAGTGTCTCTTGCGCGTTATTTTAAAAAAGTCAAATTGATTAATGGTGGATTCGTTGTGATTGATATAAGTTATTGCAAACTAATTTATCTAACAAAGTTAAAATTTTTAAATTTCGGATTTTTGTGATTTCTGTGTTCTAAATTAAGAAATAAGAATTATTGGAACTTTAAATACTTTCAAAGTTTTCATAGAAAATTTTTTTAAAATTCGTGCCAATTTTTTTAAAGTTTGAAATTTAACTATTTTAAATTTAAAATAATTTATTTTTTTATAGATAGAATCTTTATCTATCTTCTGGATCTCTTCCAAATCTGAAATAAGTCAAGAATCTGTTAATTTATTATGCGTCTAGTTTATTCTTGGGTTATTTCCAACATTATAATATATCTATTTTCCTTTGGCATTCTTTCAACAGATCAACAGTAAACATTTTGCTATCCAAAGATCCCAGCAATCTAGCACTCTGTATTTACTCACCTGTTTCGTAAATTATTTCCTGACCTGTCTTACTTCCCAGATAAACCCACGCAGTATCCCAATCTAATATTGTTTACGATATTTTTTGATCTTCAGCCAACGTTTCTACTGACGGTAAAACTCAACTGCAGATCGTCTGTCAACCCGAGCAACAGCATCGAGCTCGCTATCAGACGGAAGGTTCGCGAGGCGCGGTGAAAGATCGTAGCGGAAATGGTTTTCCCATCGTTCGACTGATCGGTTACGACAAACCGACGAGTCTACAAGTGTTTATCGGCACTGATCTTGGCCGAGTGGCACCCCACATGTTCTACCAGGCCTGTCGAGTAAGCGGCAAGAACTCGACACCCTGTGTCGAACGGAAGATCGATGGCACTATTGTAATAGAGATTGATATGGATCCGGCAAAAGATGTTACCTGTGACTGCGTTGGCATTCTTAAAGAGCGTAATGTTGACGTCGAGCATAGGTTTCCTCAAGAAGCCGGGCTGTTACAAGGAAGAAGCAAGAAAAAATCTACGCGGTGCCGCATGGTCTTCCGCACGACTATCAAGCACGCCGATGGAACTACAGAGACCCTACAAATCTGTTCCCAGCCGATAGTCTGCAGTGAGTTGACTGATACAATGGATATTTTATTCAGATACTTAGAAAGGCAGATAAGAGAATTGATTAACTTTGCGGTCCGCGTATATATTATATAGTTATATCACTTGACTGTAAACTACGGCTATAATAAAAATCAAGCCGCATATTTTTATATCGTAAACTTGTCGTTTAATTATACTGTTTAATTCTTTGAAAAGCTACTTTCTAACAAAGTAACTTGTAAAAGATTGCTTTCTAAAAATTTTTTGAATCGTTGAATTTAAATTAAAAAGTTGAAAATGAAGATTCAAACTTGATAAAAAACATTCACGATTTATTCAGTTTTCTTATAAAGTTTTGTATGTCGCAGCTCAACCACCTGGTATTCCGGAGATTTGCAAAAAGTCTCTGACGTCCTGTCCGTGCACGGGCGGTTTAGAACTCATCATACTCGGTAAGAATTTCCTGAAAGACACTCGAATAGTCTTTCAGTTGGACAACGACGATTTATCGAGTAGCTTGGAACCACATTGGGAATGCACTGTGCTACCGGACAAGGAGCACTTGCATCCAGTACACTTAGTATGCGTGATACCGCCTTATCGTAGGCAGGATTTAGCGCCTACAGAAACGGTCAGCGTCAAATTGTTCGCGGTGTCGTCCGGAAAGACCAGCGAACCGCATACCTTTCTTTACACGGCTGCCTCTACTCCCCCACAGCCGTCCATAGGTAAAGTCGAGTCTATCTCACCTCCGCTAACAAACGGTGACACTAATCACTTGGCCACATCCTCCTCCGCGGTATCGTTAGCTACGGGTGTCGCATCCAGCAGTAAGTTTGATTATTAGATCCTAGATTTCTATATTTGTAGATCTAAATTAATTTTAAATCTACATTAGAATCCTGCATGTCTGGATATTTTAATTTTAAACTCTTATTTTTAACTCTTACATGTTTAAATATTATATCTTGAATTCTTCCATTTTTCTGTATCCTTAAGTTTCTAAAATTTTTATTCTAACTTTAGGTTTTTTAAATTTCTAGAAGATTTTGACATTTTGAGAGACTAACTGAACATGATGTATTTTATATTTATCAGGTCTGTTAACGCCAACAGCTGCGGGAGCTGCAAATTTCTTATCGAATGCACCAGCTCAGGCGCAACAAAACACCTCTTCGGAGACTTTGAAAAGCGACCCCAGCCCACCACCAACGGGAACAGCCCAAGTGACTCCCGTGATGTTGTGGGCCTCACAATCCTCAAACTCACCTTCCGATGTCATGATGCCACCCCCAGTGCTCGTAGCAAACCCCCTAATGAATCGACGATCCTCATCTAATCTTCAGCTGATCCTGCCAGATAACTTAAAAACAGAAGTGCTGGATGAAAACAGTCAAAATAGTATGCTAAGCGAAAATAGCATGCAAAGCATTCCGACTCCGACAACGGCCACAAACGGACCGACATCGGTCACCTCTCCTCTTCAACAGTTGGTTAACGAGAACTCTAGAGAAGCTGCAACTTCGCAAACTGATATTATCCGGACTGTTGCCGTTGCGACGGCTAATAACAGCCCTGTACAAGAGACTGTAAATGGTCTTCTCGGAGTAGTGGATCTGATACGTACTCAGCATCCTCTGTCAATGGTGACTGCACATCATCCAACTTCGTTTGGAGGTGAGTAACTTTGATTTGACTGAATAAAATTAAATCAAACATTCGGTAAATTCAGTTACTAAAATCTTGATTACTGTTATTTTCAAATTTTAAATTAAATTTTAAATAATTTTAGTTCTCTTAAAATAGACATTTCTTAATTGTCTATTGTAGGCATGCATGAATCAAATCAAGTTCAAGTTCTTAGTCCTCATTGCCTTAAGGACACAAATAGTGTCTTATCAACGGACAATAGCTCCAATGGAGCTGCCCTTCAAGGTGCAGGTGTAGTCGATCTTCGGATGAAACATCATCATCATCCCGAATTCGGCACATTATCGAGTTTTCCTGGTGCTTCCGGGACGCAGCCATTATCAGCAGCAAACAGTCATGTGGTGGAGAAGTACCTGAATCACATGGAATCCTCGGTTGGCACCACCGAGGAATCAGATAATCCAGAAAATGAGTTCGCTATGCAACAGCAGCGAGCTTCTATCATTTCGGGAAGCAGCCAACAGTCGGCGGCTCCCCCGGGAATTTTAGCCAATACAGGTATAATTGCAAATGATAGATGTAATATATAATTAAAAGCTTTATTTATATAGGCATAATCTCTTTTTATTTTATTATGAATTTAAATTTTTTTACTGAAAATTTTGCAAATTATGTATAATTTAAAAAATACAGAAGTTTATCTTGTGTAATACATATAAAAATAGAACATTGTGACGGTATTCTCTTTAGGACAAACATCTGTAAAGTTGGATGCTTTAGTAAACTCTGCGGCTGAACAGATGGTCTCTCCGTTGCATTCGGTAAATTCCAATCCCACTGCAATGTTGAGCCATGTGGCAGCAGAACATGAAACAATGGGTAGCGCCCAACAGACTAGAAATAGTCCACCAATTCCGGTGAAGACAATGCTGCTGGAAGCGCTGATTCCGTCGCAGACGGTACAGCCATTAGCAGAAATTGCGGGTACAACATCGGTAGCACCTGCGACGACAGTAGAACAACCAGGAGATAATCTCCTGACCACTATTAACGCTGCACTATTACCGCCATTACCAGAAACACAAGTCACCGCAGCAACTGCCACACCCAATTCTACGGTATTTCTTATCCAAAAACAAAACAGATATAAGTGGTTGAACAAAAAAGTTAGTAGCAAAAACAAAATTTGAAATTTAAAATTAAAGTTTAGAAAATAAAAATCTACAATTTTAGAACAAAATTTAGAACAAAGTTAGAATGAAAATTTCTTTTAATGCAAATAAATATAACATATTCTTTCTGTTTTTTTTTCCAGGTTTCTGGTAATGCGATACCAGCAGTTGCAGCAGAGCGTATGCAACAGCAGATTCAAGTACTCACGCAACAAGAGGTAGCCGTGATGCAGCAACAGGTACAACAAGTAGAGCAAGTAGTAGCGCAAGCGCAGCAGCAAGTTGAACAAGTTGTTGCGCAAGCGCAGCAACAGGCAGTCCAAGTAGTGCACCAGGCTCAGCAACAGGTAGTTCAGCAAGTAGTGCAGCATGCTCAAGTAGTGCAGCAAGCGGTACAACAAGTACAAGCTGTGCAGCAAGTTCAAGCGGCTCAGGTGGTGCAACAAGCAGTGCAGCAGGCGACTGAAGAAGTTGTACAACAAGCAGTGCAGCAAGCAACGCAAGAAGTGGTGCAGCAGGTTGGTAATTTTATCGTATATTTAATTTATAATAAATAGATATATAGAAATAAATGCAAACTTTTAAATATATGTATATTTTTTTTCTTTCAAAATCAAAAAACGTAACACAAAATTTTTATAATTCTAGATTTAAAAAAAACGTTATTGTTTTTCTTTCTTTTTATTAAAAGTTATTAAAAATTATGATTCCAAGTTAGACAGCAATTAATGTCAAATAAAAAATTGTTTAGGTGCAAGCAGTGCAGCAAGCTGTCCAACAGGCTCAAGCAGCCCAAGCTATGCAGCAGGCTGTTCAGCAAGACATCGGTTCCATGTTGAATCAGCCCGCGGGTTTTGTGGCCGAAGCTAGCTCCGCTTTAGCTAGTGGAGCTGCTCAGGAACCCTCTCAACAGCGTTTGACCAACGCAGCGGAACAAGCTATTAACAGTGTCATCACTAACGCCACAAAGGATATTATCAATAATCGGCCGATCTCGACAACTACCGCTCACGCAATCATCGCCACAAAGAAAATTCTAAACAGCGTGGCGACTCAAAGCGCACAATTGATGAATAATGCGATGGAGGGAATCCTACCAAAATCTCCCTCGGCACAAAACAACATCATCGAACAAGTTGCCAGCAAATCACCACCAGTCGCACTCCCAGTCACTTCAAATCGCCAAACTGTAAACACTCCGATTCCCAACTCTGCCCCGAGTACCTCAACTAGTAGGAAGACGGAGGATGGAATGCTGCCTCAAGAACTCACCTCCATGTCGGAACATGATCTTCTAAGCTACATCAATCCCAACTGTTTCGAGCAGCTTCCGCAAAGCGGATTCCTCTTGTAGTACTATTGCGTTTTGCAACAAAGACAAAGAGGATGATTTTCTTCAACGAATTTATTTCTGAATGAAAGTTTAAAGAACTGCCTTCCGTGTCCTGCATTTGATGCTAAACATAGACGGTTGGTTTTAAATTTCACTTGCCTTATATTGAAGAGTGTTTCAAATATTACATGGAGCTTAGACTAGACCGTAATTAGCTAAATGTGGGATACAAAAATTCAAGAACGTTTGAACAATTAAAACGTTTTATAAGTGAGATAAGAATATAAGGCGGGCATTCAAATTTAAATTATTATTTAAATCGTGCGTTCAAATAAGATAAAATAATGCAAATAATGCATACGGTAATATCCTGAAATATGTACTTTTTTGAAAAAATTGATAGACTTACTGCGAAGTTCGGTAGAAGTGAATATAAGATCGTTTTAAGAGTTGCTTAAAATTCCTTTAAAAATCGAGATAAATGTACACTATTAAAAATGTCATGAAATTTAATGTATTTTCAACTGAAAAGTATTTGTGTACATGAAATTTAGTATACTTTTCATAAAATTTTACGAAATACAGTACAGCAAAAATATAAGTATGCAAATAGCTTATGGGCGAAGAAGTTTATCCAAGTGTGAAACTATAATAATTAAATTTTTTTTATCAAGGAATAAAATTCATATGAAATATGTATAGCAAAAGCACAGTATGGAAATGTTGGATATAAGCATTTATAAATGGAGTTAAAAATTAAAGGACAACAATGCTTCGAGAACATATCGCATTCCCGCCGCTTAAGAACATCAATAACAATATACGTAGATGAACTTTTTCGCTCATATTTGTCGCTTTTACTGAACTTTGCGCAGGTTTATCGATTTTTTTCAAGAAAGTACTTACATATTTCGAAAGATCATGTGATGCGGACTGCACTCCCGTCTCATTTTTTGGCCGCGTAATTTAAATTAGAATTTAAATTTGAGCCCTTCGTATGTCTTTTAAACCTTGTGTTGTCTTGACTTATTATTGTGCAGGATTAATCTCAACTCGGATTGCAAGGTCGTTATTTTATTCCGATATTGACGATTCTGTGCCACATTTGTGATGTGAAATCTTTTATAAAAAGGGAAAAATAGAAGTGCAGTAAATGCAAAACTCTGGGTCTGAGCACATTTGTCTTTAGTTGAACATATTCTCTTCGGAGTTATCTTAATTTTGGGATTTTAAAGATCTCAATTTTCGATATTCTAATCTTAATTCTTTCGATATGGCAGAGTCCAGCTGAACAGCGTTTCTAAACGAATGTTTAGTAGCATATAACAGCATATAACTACTGCAATATGTACCCTAGAGAATTTCGTGCATTTTTGAAGACGTAAGAATGTTTTCATATACTTTTCAAAATTCATTATCCTTCCCAAAAAGTTAATAATTGATTTTGTACTATAATAAGACTACTATGTTTATGAGACATTTCGCTATTTAAAGCAAATTTCTTAATGACCCAAAGTTTTCAGAGATATTTCCTGATCGTTCTGTGATTCACGGTGAGGAAATGCCGTAAGTCCACAGCAGTAGATCATCTTAGATCGAGAACTATTAATATTTAAGTATAAGACGGGCGCACGAGAAAGCGCGACAAATTCAGATGTTCTTCTCTTTCACACATCTTTTCTTTCTTTGTATGTTTTTTTCTATGAATTGTCAATCTTTCTTGGCGATTCGTTATTTATCTTCAATGATATACGCGACTAGGTATGTTGCATATTATCTTGTGCTTTATTTTGGTCTAATTAAATTCTTTTTATTTGCAGGAATTCACCAAGTGAATAATGCAAACGTAGAGAAATATGATGTAAATGTTCAGATAATTAATTAATCCTTAAACGTCGCGTTTTAAAATTATCCAATTCTATGTGAATCCCACATACAATTGGGAGATCCAACAGCGTGGTTTTAGAGTTAATTAATATTACTAGTTTAATATTGACAAAAGAAATTAAGAACTTAATCGAAGGATAGTGAAGAAGAAAAATCCGGCCAAGTTTCCAGTTTTAATTTCTCGAATCTTGGAATCTTGTCTTGCGTTTTGCAAAGTTAAAAAATGCCGGAAATATAAACGCGTAATTATATGAATCATTATTGTTTACGCTGTTGTGATTATTATTGACTTGATTTCATTGCGAAAGAATGGATCATCTCGTCGTGGCCTTCATATGTCTCAAGTATATATTTCATATATTTAGAATATGTATATTGTTTGATAATTGAAGTTATTTTGTTTTCTTCTCTTTTTTGTTATCTAGTATATTGATAATGATAATAGAGTTATGTGAATGCGTTAATGTTCATTATTTTCATAGAGGAATAAAAAACGGGGAATGAAAG